TTCCATAAATGCTGGTGATTATTTTTATTAAACAAGTTAAATTACATTAAAGATAAAAACACCCGCACAGAGTCTTAGTGGGGGTCCCTCCTGCTGCGTGAGCGATCCCCTGACCTGACTCCCCTCGCTCTGGGGAAGAGGGGGCACCCGTGTTCCTCAGCCCCCTTCCCTGCGCCTGTCCCCAGGGACGCTGTGGCTTGCAGGGGTGCTGTGCACCCTCTGACCTCTGGGTCTGCCCCACTGCTAGGGCCACTCTCACAAGGGTTTGCCTCCCCGAAAGCAGCGTGAGCTCAGGGCAGCCCACGGGAAGCAGCTGGAAGCTCCCGGGGGGAGCTTTATGGAAACGCTAGTGAGAAAATGGGCAGAAAAGGGTGGAATTGCTTGCGCACGGGTGGGACACGGGATCACGCCGGCACACTTTCCCAGACTCCCTAACAGCCAGGCACCACAACGTGCAGCCGTGGGGCAGAGTCGGCTGTCGGTGGGCGAGCTGTGGTGTAAAATGTGCGAAAACCAGAAAAATCCCAAACAACAGCAAGGTGCGTGGTTATCCTAAAGCTACGTGAGGTGGGAACTGCTGACTCCCCCTTGTGTCGCATCGGGAAGGAGCTCGCTGTGTGTAACGGGAATAAATAAATCGGGAGGAAATAGCCTGGAGTAGAGAGCATTCACGTGAGCAAAGAAGCAAGAGAAAAGGGAGGGAATAGAAAACATCGGAGAGAATCCCTTTTTCTCCCCGTTTGTCTCCAAGTGGCCTGTTTGGGACCCTGTCCCAGACACGTGCATATCGTTAACTGCAGCAGGGGTGAAGGTTATTAATTGCTTTAACATGTTTCAGCCCCTCCCCTGACTCCTGCCTTGATTTTGTGGGGCAGAATGTGTGGGCACCAGAGCTGGGGCCGGGGGAGATCTAGGACCCAACTGGTCTAACTGGAGAGGCAACCAGAGGGACTGGCACGCTGAGCCGTGGCCCGGGGACCGTGTTTTTGGCGTATCCAAATGGTGCCAAGGCTCAGGGGGTCTGGGCTGTGCTGACAGGTGAGGTACCAGGAAAAAGGAATGCTAGGGGTCTACCTCCTCCCTACCCACACACTACAGGAACAACCAATCACTGCCGTTCGCTAAGGGAGAAACACCTCAAATCTCCCTTTTCATCCTGCTCTTGTAACTTCTTGTTTAATATCCTGGTTATTATTGAAAGTTTACGGGTTATTAGTAAAAATAATCCCCACAGCTGCTAAAATAGCAAAGCAAAGCAAATGCAGAGCAAGCGAATAAACAAACCATGTGTGAACAGCGACCAGAAGGAAACCCGAACAAGCACCAAAGTTTCAAAATACTTTCCAAATCGTTGAAAATTTAAAAGCAATGCTGTGACACCCAGATGCCGCACGGCACTGAAGTCAGAGGTGATTAACAAAACGTTAATAAGCCAGAACAGCTTAGCTCAGAGGCCAGTACTGGGACGGTGGGGAGGACAGGCTGAGCAGCAGCAACACGAAAAGGCTTTGCTAACTTCACGTGAGGACAAATACTGAGCAAAGCATGCACAATTTATTAAAGGAACATACACTTACGGCGTTATCCCCTAAAATGTCCAATTTTTTCATCAGCTCTGCTACTACTATGTCCTAACAAGAGAGAAATGGAAAACCAGGAGTCAGAACAGAGTGTCTGATTTTGTTTGGGGCAGGGAAAGTACGAAACGAGAATCCCTTACTGTTACACCTTCTGCCTCGCAGTACACTTGGAGAGGGCTTTTCCCCTCTGTGAAAGGGCCGTGGTGGAAGTTGATGGCAGGCGATCGTCGTTCTCGCTCCTGCAACGACAACGATTGCTGGGTTAGGGAATGTCACAAACAGCAGCTCCCCAAGAACTTGATAAATATGGTTTGGGAAAGGCTCACTCTCATGGCACACGGCGCAGAGCAACGCTACCACCGAGTGGCTTTATTTTGGGTGCACAGAACCCCTTCCTCCTGCAGCCTGTGGCTGCTGGTGCCAACAGCCAGGAGCAAGAGCCGTTGCTCTGGCCAGAGCCTGCGCTTCTGTGTGGCACACGGGGCTGGCAGGGGGGACCTCCACCCTCTGCAAAGCAGGCAGACACACGTGTTAACAGCGCGAGTGTTTCCCCACCACGCGTCCTCACTGGGCACTGACCACGTATCCTGGGCTGGATCCAGAGCAGCGTGGCCAGGGGGGCGAGGCAGGGGATTCTGCCCCTCTGCTCCGCTCTGGGGAGACCCCCCTGCAGTTCTGCTCCAGCTCTGGG